AAGGTCTTAGCTTCAAAATTACGGCTTATTTTTTTGGTGTTACATTTCCATTTTTGGAGTTAGAGAAGGATCTACAAAGCCAATAAAAAATTGTGGGACTAGGTGTCTTGCACTATATAAATAATAAGTAATATATATAACAGTCAAACGATATGTCACAGGAAGACATATGGGACCTTTTCTAGCAAAAACGGTCTTCCATAAAAATAGATTTTTTTTAGGTAAATTGCAAATTAAAATTGTTACACGAAAAAGGAAAATTGCCCCCTAAAATTTGATGCTATTTTTAAACTCGGTGATCAGTGTAGCATAATGGACATTTGATTTCATTGGCTAATATTTGTGACGATTTCCCTTCCATATATCACGCAAAAATTAAATTTTATTGGCTTGATGATCATTACGCAATTTGAAAACAAAATAAATTTATATAGGAGGGGAATTTGAATGGAATAAGTGAATTTCAAGTTGATACAAGAATATATTTACATACTTGGATATAAAACAATTATCATAAAATAATCACATATATTGTATATTTAAAACAATAGATTTACAAAATGTTAATAACAATGATCTATTATTTATTATTATTATTATTATGTTAATAACATTAATTAATCAAATGTATAAACAACCTACCTTCAAAACAATTCTTTTGAATAAAAGAAAATAACAATTAACACTAAAATAATTAAATAAATACCCAAAACTATTTGTCAGTAAGATTGCTCATTCGAATCTAATCCACATAAAATAATTTTGTTTGTCATCAATCACCATTAAAAAAAAAATTTTTTTAGAAAATTACATATATATATAAATGTGTATTGATGACCATTGTAATAATTAAATATTATCAAACCTCCTGCTAGTACATTGTTCTTCCAAAGATATATACATGCATGTGTTTAAATAATTTTTACTAATAAATAAAATATTATCCAAGAATTTAGTATATAAAGTTTATATAACAAAATTTGATCACAATAAAAAGAAATAAATAATAATATTTGCAAGCAAGAGTTTATCTTCCATTATCACGGATAGCCCTCCCTCTCTCATCTATAATCCACTATTGTTACTGTTGTTATTGTTGTTAACTATTTAAAAGATTTAATGAATGATTGAATTAAATGCTTACTGCTGGTTAATTCTAAACCACCATCTAATAATAACTATGATTGTTGCAATCAAAGAGG